AAAAAAATCCTAAAAATTGCATTCGAATAATAAATGCATTTAACTTAAATTTCAGTTTTATTTGAAAGATAATCTGAATTAAAAGAAAAATTAAAATTTCCATACTAAAGTCACTTTTTAGTAAAGTGAAAAGTATGTTTTCTCGCCACTCATTGATTCATCGAACCGCCATTATAGACGAGAAATGTAAACAATAAACAACAAACAAATTAATCCATTGTTCATCCTCAAGCGAAAGATAGTTTCGAAGGCATATACCATTTATGATTTATTTTAAATTAAAATAAATTTAAGGATTAATTAACTGGATTTTGTAAATTTAAAAAAAATTACGTTTTATTTAAATTCATTCATAAGTACCGAAAATTCGATTTGTTTCGGATAATTCACTGATTTTTAGCAAATATTTTAAAATGGGGCTTGCGATATTTTTTTTTTTTCTTTTTCATTTCAGGGTAAAAAAAAAAGTATCCATTTTGGTTGGTGGTACCAGGTACCTCCAAAAAGTGTTTGTGAAATGCATGTAAGCATTCATTTTCTGCATGAGGGGTTGCTTTTCATCTTCATTGCTTCAATGATGTTATTTGTTGAACAACAGCAAAAAAAACATCACAGATTTTTATGGATGATAGGGCTTTTTGTGGCATACAGTAAAAAAAAAATACAAAATAATAAGTTTGAAAATTTATTAAACAAACTTGACTTGAGTCAATCTATCTTTTTAGAATCCTCTTAAAACAGGACTATACTGTTTTGGATTGTAAAAATGAAAATATGTATTGTAAACTAAAATTTGGCTGCATGTTTTTAAATGTAGACTCGTTTGATATTATGCAGAACATACCTACTAGTTCTCTGGCATATGACATTTGAATACATACGTTCATTCATACCAGCAGATAGCCAGTGTTTTTGAGCCAGCCAACAAATTGATTTTTTAGTGATAATGTTTAAGTGACGGTGCGACCTGTCTGTTTTTGTCCTAGGAGATGAGATCACACACAAACTTTGCAGACAAAACTGTAGTGTAATTAAGCTAGTTTGGCACTCGGCTGCTGCTGTACAGCAAATGCATTGCCAGTTTAACTGCAACGAAAAAACTGGGTCTACTTTTTTCACCTCACAGAAATCACCTACCAGTTCAACATTCTCTGTATGAGATCGCTAAAAAAGAGAGAGCATAGCATGATGAAAATGACGCCAAACTTGTCGAAGACAGAATTTTTTCGTCTAAAAATGTTTGTCATTATTAAGAGGAAAGAACAAAGTATTTTTTTTAATTATCTTAAAAAAATTTCCTTCTTTTTAGAGAACATTCTAACTTTTGATTAAAAAAAAAAACAAAAAAAAAAACTTGTTTCTCTTTGTATCAGCTGAACTAAATAAAATTTTAGCACTTTTTTTATATGACACATTAATTTGTAAAATCTTGCAAAATAAAAATAATTGTCGAATGTTAATGAAACTTTCAGAAACTATTTACAAATGATGGAAATTATTATGTTTTCTTTTTTTTAAAGTCTGGTAAAAATATTTTTATATTAGAAGCGCCATAACTAATTTTATGAAAACTAGAAATTCAGTACCATTCAGTTTTAGTGATTAAAAGCATCATCTAATTTTAGAAATGTTGCTTTTAAATTTACTATCATTTCGATAATGTCGTGTATGGTCACCCATACTTTCAAAATTGGCACGTTTATACACACAAAAAAAAAAATCTTTAAATCCTTGTGGTGATGATTTGTATTAAGCTTTTCAATTTTCACTTAGTAAATATAGTCTTCACTTAATAACCTAACAAGAATGAAATTTGGATGAATTTTTAAAACATTTTTGAAACTTTATAAAAATTATTATAATTAAATAAAAAAAAAAATGAAAACAGTTCTTGTAAAAATTCATTATGCATCAAAATATTTTTTTCTTCTTCAGACTATAATGTCCTTAATTATATATTTATGATTTAGAGCAGATTTTAGGGAATCTGATAAAAGTTTTAAAAAAAAATTAATGATTTACAATCTGCAAGGAGTCCTGTTTTTAACTTAAAAAAAAACAAATTTGGAGGATGAATTTAATTTCTAGAAATTTCATGAAATTAGGTATGTGTATGGGGAGGGTAACAGATGTTTAAAAAAATTTTTACCAAGATTTTCCAAAATAGTAATTTCAAAAATAAATTAATTCATTTGTGAATAAGTCCTGAAAGTTTCAATCCAATAATTATTTAACTTTTGAAAGACTTTCTAAATGAATGTGTTATTTTATTAGATAACAGGTGCAAAAATTTCCATTACCAGTTCTGTTCTACCACTGATGTATAAAAAATTAAAAAAAAAACAAGATTTTTAACAAAAATTTCAAACGTGTTAGAAAAAGTAAAATTTTTTTAAATAATTAAAAAATACTTTGTTCTTTCCTCTTAATAATAACATGAATATTTTGACGATAAAACTTTGTTTATCAATTTTTGGGCCTTTTTCATTGTGCTATGCTCTTTTTCAGCAAATTATTGATTCAAATCTCAATCATCTCAGCTACTGATTTGACCTGTAACTGACTCATTAAATTCCAGAATGAGTTTGCTGTAGAAGGTTTTGTCCTCTGCTTAATGAAATATTTTTTGATTCTTCAGATCATTGAATAAAAAATTCTAATGAATGAGGTTGCTGTTGCTCACCAGTTTATAGCAGGATGAGTTACTACTTGTTACAGCTGAGGTGGAAAACTTTCAAAGTAAAATAAATTCAACACTTTCAAAAGAAATGAATTCCAATATGTGACAGAATTTTATGCATATATTTTTTATAAAGAACAACATAGCTCACAAAAGAGAATGAGAAAATTATATTCACATATATACAGATAGGTAGAGCTCATAAAAAAGAAAAAGTTATAAGTTTAGCTGTAGTGTGTGATGTGCAAAATGAACCACATAACCCAGTTGAAATTTAGCAGTCATCTGATGAAAGAAACCTCCTCTGGTGGAAACAAGCCTAGTGTTGTTGCGGATACATCTCAACAGAAAGAAAAATATAGAATTTATGTCAAGTGCCTTAATAGTCCTATATAGGATGACACACTAGTGGAAATCCTTGCAGACAAGGCGAGGTAATCCCTATTTTAAAAACTCAAGTCTTTGATATTTTCTCTTGTTTATTTTCTAGGCAATCTGTTGTTGACTGGGCATGAAAATGGAGCTGTTCTGTGTTGGGCAAATGCAGGCACTAAAACACAGACATGTACAACTCTGCACAGGCATCGGAGCACAGTGACAGCCTTGACTGTTGTTGATAAATGTAAGTATCCTTTATGCACTTGAAAAGGCTTATAGTCTGCCAATTTTATTTACTATTAGCTTGAGTCATAAATAATTAATTTTTGTTTTAGTTTATCAGCTTTATTATTCAAGAAATAAGGTACAATTACATTTTATTCAATTATACAGGGTTTTCAATAGTAGAGTTGGGCAGTTTGGCAATTTATGTTTTGGTATTGGTTTCCAGTTTTGTTTTCCTTGATACTGCTGTTTTCAATTTGGTTTGTTCGATTTTTTTAATTTAGTATTTTTGCTTTCTAAGGAAGCCATTCATTTTCTTGTGTAATGATAGCATTTCCAGTCGATATTTGATTTTGTTTGAGATTGATAAATTTGCAACTTAGTTCGTTCAACTTGCAATATCTCATGTATTTATGGTCCAATCTTAAAAATATTCATATGGCTGGAAAGAAAATAAAATAATCTTTCTAAATATGTAATTTGTATGTGTTTTTATTCATTGAATTATTTTTTTTTTTACAGCGAGTTAAAACGGTATTGCTTCAACCAGCCAAAAATTTTTTTTTTTTTTTTTCAAGACTTTTACATGTTACTTTGTTTCACAAAATCAAAGTGACCAATCTTTATGAACATTCTTGAAATTGTACACTCAATAAGAAGACAACTTGAACTAAACCAGGAAGATGTTCATTTCTCCTCTGACCTGAGGAAGCGAATTCTTCAAAAATTATAAAGTAAGCAAAAAACCCAAAAAAAACGGCTATTCTTTTCTGGTATGCCAGTCAACTATTATTGGTTTTAAAATAAATTTCTTCTAAACAAAGAAAATCAATGAGTTATTTTTCCCTAAATAAATTTGTTTTTTATCTAGCAATACACCTAAAATTAAATATTAAAAATAATTAAAAGCTTTTAATTTCATTTTTTAAAATGTGTAGATTTTCAAATTAAGAAGTATTTTAATTTCTTTTTTAAATACACATTTTAAAACTGAAATTAAAAACTATTTATAAAATCCTTAGTTTCAACTTAAAAAGCATCCTCAGGTGATTTTTTCGTCTTGACCAGCTAATGCTTTTTTATTTTTTTGAAAAAACTCAAGAATTCTACATTATTATTTTCAAAAATAAATTCTCCCTTGCTTAATTTTCTAATCCAGACCACCCCACAAGCCTATTTTTAATTCCTGACTTTATGCTCTCCTTAACTTTAGGAAAAGATGTAATGATTTGTTTTTAAATTTCCCTAAGAAATCATTTTATAACCAGTTACCTACCATTGCCTGAGGAAGTATAATCATAGTATTGAAACCTGAAAGCTTTTGCGTAGCAATTTAAAAATGTTTTAATTATAATCTTTTTATAGTGAAAATATAATAATAATTTCGTCTACTTTGTATTTTTTACTATTTTTAAAAGTTAATGCTTTGAACTGTTCTTTTTGTGAACGTTGATTACTGTCTCATCATTTGGAGACACACACACACACACACACACACACACACACATATATATATATATATATATAAAAATATATAATATAAATATTTTAATATATTTTCTGTTTATGTTATTTTTCATTCTAGATACAAATATTTAAGTAAATGCTCTGTTTATAATAAACAGTATTAACTACATTTACCAGCTAGAATGTCCGAGAAATTTCATAGAAAATGTGTTCTCTGAGAGGAATCAAACTTGTATCTTCCACAGAACCATCATTTAGCCTGACGTGCCATACCATAACATATATACATAACCTATAAAAAGAAAATAGACTTAGTCCATTTCATAATTATATATATATATATATAGAAAATACCAATTTGTAATTGGTAGGGATTATTCCAAAGAAGACTTTAATCCAGTGAGGGCTCAATGTAAGTTAAAGAGCAATTTATAATGATAAAATAAGAAAACTCTTTAAAATCCATATTGGTTTCATGAATATTTTTATATTTATCTCTTCAAACTGAATATTTTTAAGAAATGGAATCAATCCAGACAGACATACTGGGATAAAAAAAGAGAGAAAAAGAAAAAAGAAGGTATATAATAAGAAATAATGGAAAAGAGATAAAATAGAAAAAATAAAAAATAGGAAAAAATAAGAAAAATTAAGAAAAGAATTTAAAAATTACAAGAAAAAAAGAGAAAGAAAAGAAAGGAAAGAAGGACGAAATAAAAGATGAGCCAACAGCAAAAATAAAGAAATTGAAAAATATTCCTTAAAAGGGCAAATGTAAAGAAGAGAATTCAATGTTTTTTTTAAAGGAAAACAAAAGGATAGGAAGTTAAAGAATAAACAAATTCTAATGAAGTCAGTGAAAGTGGTGTTCAGATGGTTTTTTTGGAAAAAATAATACAATCATCATTTTAAATAAAGAATAATAATAATATCCAACATAAATAAAATAAAATAAATTTTAAAATATATCAGAAATAAATTAAAAAATTAAATGAAACAATAATCAATAAAAACTAATATATTTAGACAATCATAATAAACAAATTTAGAATATATAAAAATTAGATAAAAGATAAAATAATAATAATAATAATAATATTAATAATAGTAAAAAATAAGTAAATTATAAATTACAAAATATAAAATAAATATTATATATTATGTTATAGGCATAGCAAGAGAATCACATAAATAATTAAATATATCTACAGACCTATATATAAAAATGTGTGGCAATCGATATAACTATATATACACATACCTACATATGAATACACATGTTTGTACCCTTATGAAATAAGAATCAACATTTTCAAGTGTATATCCCGCAACATCAGTGTGTTTAGGGAATTCTAAATTTGTTTTTCTGTCAACACTTGAAAATGATTTTATTTCTTTGATTCTACAATTGGCCAGCATTTTTATATTTAACTATTATGATTTTCTTCTGTATGCATAGATTGCATCTGTTCCAGTAGTTGTTGGGAGTTTGAGACTAACAGATGATATCCTATTTAATTTGTGGGATTAAGCCTCTATCTTTAAGTCTCCAATAGTGCTTAGAGAGAGCAGTTTGGTGTATTAAAGAAGCATTGGAGAAGGAGTGACAGTGATTGTAGAGTCTCAGTTTACAACTCCCAGTGGGTATCCTGATGTATACTTTTTTATCATTAATATTTTATTTTGGAAAGATAGTAGCTTGGTATACCACATTTTCCAAATTACAGATACCTCCAACTGGGCATTTGGTTCTGGTTCTACAATTAAAAGAGGGCATGTTGTCTGGTATTTTGCCATCATAAAAAAATTTTATATTTGGTTGTTATGTGAGTCAATAATATTATGTATGTTGTTAGTGCAGGAATAACATAACTAATTTTTAGAATTTTTGTGTTGAAAATCGAGTGTTGTTGTGATTGAAATGTCTATCGATTAAATTTAGAAAATATCTGCCAGTATATACATTAGATAGTTTGCAGATTGGTGGGTTAAACCATATTGTTTTTCTTTTCCTGTTTTTGATTCCATTTGATTTCCATCTTTTTCAAAGATTTCTGATAAAACAATTTTTGTTTGAAATTTCTCTTATTGAGGGCTTCATTATAAGTTATTTTATTCTCATAGAATTGGTTAGATGGTTTTCCAAATGTATTCTTTTTAATTAAGTTAATCATGTCAGCTTTGAAAGGATCTAAAAGTTTATTATTAGGTGGAGTATTTTGAGATTTTAGATTATATTTTTCCTTTTTAAAACTTACTGCATCTGAGAGGTTTAAGTAAAAGCATGTTTTCCATCGTAATCTTTTTAGAAGGTCAATTATTTTGATCACTGAGTTATAGACTGAAAGAATATAAAGAAGTGTAGGGACTGTTTCTCAGGGAATAGACTGGAGTAAATTTATCCATTTGGTGGTAAAAACATAGATAATTAAGGTAATCCAAAAGAAATGCACCAAAGAGAGCTCAACTTACAGATATATGAAGTAATTATAAATAATACCAATTTGTAATTGGTAGGGATTATTTCAAAGAGGACTTTAATCCAATGAGAGCTCAATGTAAGTTAAAGAGCAATTTATAATAATAAATTAAGAAAACACCTTAAAAATCCATATCGATTATAATTTATTTCTGAATATTGTTATATTCATCTCTTCAGACCAAATATTTTTAAGAAATGGAATCAATTCATCCAGACAGATATACCAGGATAAAATGGAGTAAAAGAGAGAGAGAGAGAGAAAAAAGAGGGAGATACAGAAAGCATACTTTTACTTAAACCCCTCAGACACACTAAGTTGTAAAAAGGAAAAATAAGTCTAATAAAGTTATTGAAAGTGGTGTCAGTTTAGACAGCAATCATCACATTTTAAACAAATAATAATAATAATAATATTAACATAGATAAAATAATAAAATAAATTAAAAAATATATTAATAAAATAAATAAAACAATGTTATTTTTTGTATCTATGTTCAATGTTGCTATTAGTGACCTTAGAAAGAAATAGTCTAATTTGGTGATCTATAAAGTAGTTCAGAAAAATGTTATTAACTACCTCTGTTTCATGTAGTTGAGTTCTTTAGAAAAGTGGACAAGAGGATGAATTCTCATGTACTTGTCTGAGGAAATTTTTTCATAACACCTATTGCATATCTAAGTGGATATTTACTCCTAAATCACAAGTGTGTGTTTTTTGTATAATGAAGTAATGAATGTGTTATTAGATTCTACAAGAATGTCTAAGAATGGGAATTTATTTTTTTGACTAAGTTCATAGGTAAAGTTAAGGATAGAAATTTTTCAAATGTGGTTTTGTGATTATCAATTTTTTTTTGCCTTCAGCTAAAATATTATCATCTACATAGTGGACATATATTTTAGATATAGTAACATTTTTAAATACCTTATTTTTGACATGAGATGTAATAGTTAGATTCACAGTCAGATTGGATTTCCCATACTAATGACATTAGTTTCAGTATAGATATTGCCATTATGACCCTAGAAGATAATATTTAAGTAATAATATGTCAGATTAATAAATGAAAATCCATCCGCAAAATGTGTGTGTGTGTGCAAATAGAATAATATTGCTGCAGTTCAATTACTAACCTTCATCTTTAACATGCCCATAGTGACCTGGAAGAGTACTACAGAACCTTGATAAAAAAGCAGATCCCAGATACGGAGAAGAACCTTCATGTGTACAACACTTGCAAATAATGTCAGGAACCAATGCAGGCTAATTAGTGAAAGCTCTGAAAAGTAGACAACATGCAGTAGTTGGATTAGTAGACAAATGATTTGGTAGGTAATAACTTTTTTCTCATGTAAGTTTAACATTGAAAAAAAAAACATTAAACAGAAAAATATAGAGGATAATGGAGTAGCAAAAACAAGGAATGAAGCAACAAAGAAAAACTCAAAAATATGAGAGATAGTAAAAGAACAAAAGAAATTAGAAGGAAATGGAAAGAAATAACAAAGAGAAAGGAATATATGAAAATGTAAGAATGACTATAAGAGAAAAGGAAAAAAATAAGCAATCAAACCTGATTGGTTAAAAGAATCACTAGCAGCACATGCAGCAAACCAATGATTGAATGTTTGTGAAATTAGCAAGGCTTATTAGAAAAAAAACCAAAGCAGAAGGGTATTTAAAAGTATGAAGCATTAAAAAGACAAAATCAACAATCAAACTCATATGAAATAGAATATAATTCTCTTTTTTACAATTTAAAAAATGATTTTTAAAATGAGCTAAAACTACCTTTTTGACTTTTATATAACACATTAAGGGTTTGGAAATATAAAAACAAGACAAGAAAGGAATATCTTACAAAATTTGTTATATATATATATATATATATATATATATATATTGGCATGTAAATATTCATTCATGATAAACTCAAATCCAAATGTTTAGTGCCATAATCAAGTATATATGTTTTACAAGGAGTACTGCCAATAATGGTAGTAGTTCAGCCCACGAAACAGAAAGTTCGACCTGTATTGGATTTTTGAAAATTGAATGAATATGTGACATGTCACACAGGCGGAAACAACATAGATATGTGTGGAGAGACCCTGCAGAATTGGATACAATGCGATGAGCCTCAACAATTATTGATCTGAAATCTGCTTACATGCAGATCCATGTTGCTGAAAAATTGTTGAGATATCAGCTGGTCAGGTATAAAGGCTAAACCTATTGCCTAAACAGGTTAGGCTTTAGCCTAAACTCTGCCCCCCGCCCCCGAATCATGACAGCAAAGTATTAGTGGAGAAGGCTGCTGTGAGAAGAGTGACTGATTCTTACATAGATGATATAATGGTGGATGAAACAGTGGCAATGGTCGACCAAGTGATATGTCATCTTGACAGGTTCAGGCTGACTGCAGAACAACCGGAATCATTGGAAAGGGGAGTAGCATTGGGGCTCCAATTGGAAAAGAATACAAAAGGCAAGATGGTGTTCCAAAGAGAAAATGTTAATCTCAATGTGCCTGATATGCTAAGTAGGAGAAAACTCTTCTCAATTTGTAGGAAAGTAGTTGGCTATTATCCCATTGCTGGATGACTGCACATTGCATGTAGTGACATCAAAAGACTGGCTGGAGGAGAGAGATGGAAAGATAAAATCAACAATGAAGTGGTGAATATATTAAAGGAGATTGTTGCAGTGGTGAAACGAGAGGAAGCTGGTATATACTCAACAGCAAAGGTGTTCTGTGGTGTGACAGTCTAGTGTTAGGAATCATTTTGAAAGTAGGTGGTGTCACCATGGAAAATGCAACCTGGTTTCAGAAGAAAAAACAATGTCCTATTGAATGTGTGGAAAAATGTATTTGCCATGAAGGGCATCAACCTCTCCATAAAATGGGGACTAAAAGAAATTGAAGGAAAACTATTGAACCATGGTGGCTTCATGTCAGGACAGAAATCAAAACATGAATTTTTTGAAGACCAGGGGGCCTTTCACAAGTTAGGAATCAGAACAGTTTCCACAAAAAAAATGAAGTTGAAACTAAACATCACACTTGTAAATTGGTGTCTAATAGGGCAGATATATAATCACCATATATGAAGAAAATCTGGCTTATAATTTTAACAAAACCCATGGAAGAAACAGAACCAGAAACATTAAAAAGAGTTGTCAGACTGACTTTTATGGCTTTTGAGATATGCAGCAAGAATCAGTCCATAAATTCGCAACAATTAGACATATAGCAGGTATTTTCAAAAAGAGAAAGATTGGACCTGGTTTGTTTTTCAAAATTGATGCATTATCAATCAGGGACTATACCTGTCAATGATTGATTGTTGACCTGGACATGTGGCCATATGGAGAGAAATCAAAACAAAAAATAGAATCAAGATAGAAAGGGTCCTCAAGGAAGCATTTTTTGAGAGGGGTCTAGTAACTGTGATTCTGATGGACAATGACACTGCCTTTTGCTCAGCAACCTTGAAGGAGAGGTTTGAAAAAAAATTGAGGCGTTTCTTTAGATTTTATCTTTTTTTGGAAGGAAGAATGGTATTGTCAAAAGACATCAAATTTAGGAAATTATCCTCAAAGAGCCAAATTTTATTTACAAGAAGCTGTCTTTTGGTATAATATGTCTCCCAAAATTGGCTATGATGCAAATTCTGTACCACAGAAAGCTGTCATCAAATATGAGTAGCAGCATCCAAGAGCAGGGTCAGCAGCCACAGGAGAGGAACCGACTAATATAAGAATTGGAGAGGAAGTGTGGGTTAAACTGCTTGATGCTCGCTGCACCATCCACTGAAGAAGAGGCACAGTGACCAAAATTCAATCATTTTTAAAGTGTCGGTTAACAGTATTCCACAACATATTCTGGATGTGCAACGGGTTATCAAAGATGAAGCCAACGATAACAGAGTGAAGACCATCAAGCCATCCGACCATGACCAGATTATGAGAAAATCATTGATGAGGCATCCTTCCTTTTGTTGGATAAGCATTCTATGTCATGGAATAAGTGATCAGAGAGATCGGGGGGGGGGCGGTCATGTGGTTTGATGGAATCATGAGGAGGGACATCTGGGTGCCTTAAAAAAACCATTCTCTTATCATCCGGCCGTGATTGGTGATTTCCCATTATAAATAGACCATTATGGAGATGAGAGATCACTCTCTTGGAGTATGTCATACCATATGTACAGTTGTGACAGGCAGGGGTGGAACAAACAATGAAGTGAATACAGGGAAGAAAATGAAGAAAATACCGAAAGACCGGTGTAGAGGGAGAGAAATGCCTACACAGACATTGTGTCTGAAAACAGAGTTGTTAATTTCTTTTGAGCACACAGTATTAAAATTTACTTATGGAATGGAGAACAATGCAATTCTGCCTTTTCTGGTGAGGATCTTGTCCCTACCCACACTTTTTGTATACATTTATTGAATTCCATACTTATTTTTGCTCTAAACAATGAAAACTGAATCTGATTAAGACTTTAGCTCAGCATTCCCTATTAATTTTTCTAAGACAAAATTAAATTATTAAGTTTATTAGGATGGTTTTAGTTGAAAATGAATACACTCTTGATATTGCACAATTTAGCATTCATACAAAAATTGTACAATTTAATAAATCTAAATTGTATGGTCCCAAAATTATCTTGGATTAGTGAGGTTAGTACAAAATTTACCAAGCAAATCTTTCAGTATGCAGCATGGTTATTTTTCTGACAATCTATGGTTTGTTTTTAATTCCCAAATTATGTTGAAATCTATTTGTAAAGAAGTTCTGCCTCCACATCATGTCAGTTTAGTGATTTATAACTTTAAATTTCAGTATGATGCTGAATATAATCATAATTAGTCAAAGACTGGAAATGTGAACTAATCATTATGTACCAGCTGAGATTACAGATTACAGAGGGTGGTAGGACATATGCTTGTCAGTACATCTGGGTTTGCAATTTGAAAATTTGTTTACAAATTTGACTGAATCTAGAAAAAGTAATGTTCACTATTTTCTCCTCTAGGCAAAGGTTACATTGTTCTAAGGTGTTCCTCTAAGATGGTGATGTTTTTGATTTGCCATATATGCTTTGATATGGTTTATACTGTTTGTATATTTTCTGTTATTAAATGTGTTTTGCATGAATTACTTCTGTTTCCAGGGACCTTTTCTGTTAATACTATATAAGGGTAGATTGATTTAAAACTGTGGTCTTGGACAAGTTTAGATAATTGAGATATAATCAAGAAATTATTTTATTCCTAACTTTTACTCTCATTTATGGAAAATATTTCAAATTTTGACATCTTCAACTTCTTTGATACTCTTGTGGCATTAATGCCAGTGTATTCCATGCTATTATAAAAAACAAAAGTAAATGAATATAAATTTAATATTTGTTTTTAAAATAGCAAAAGAAAATAAATTATATATTAAATATAAAATATGTTATTAAAATGTATAAACAATATATTCCATTTACAGGCAACATTACGATCATTGTTTTCATGTCAATTTTGTTTTAAATAGAAATCTTTCTGATAATGAATTTTAAAAATTTCCTACTCTTTGTTAAATTATTCAACAATAAGTTATTTCCTCCAAGCATGAAAAATTATAATGATATTGCTAAAATTAGAGCAAAAAATGTAATTGGGATTTGACAAGTAATTAACACTCCACTTAGTCCTTGATGATGAACAGTGTTTAGTTTATAGGAATTAAATTCTATATATATTTTATCAACCAGTAAAATCCCATCAGAAGGTTTGTTTGATAAACAATAATTATTCTTCTTTTATGTGCTGTGTCCCTTCAGGAACTAGGGGATCATGGCTCTCCACTTCTTCCTGTTCCTTGTAGATCTCAATAAGGTTTGTCTTTTTGTTATTTCTCCAAGACCCTGTTCTGCCATCCACTTGCTTAAGCCTGTTAAGTATGTTACATGTTGCTTTCTCTTGTCACTCTATCTGTTCTGTAAGTATCAGATTTTCCAAGCCCTCCTTTCTCATTACAGGTCCCAGAAATTTCAGCTGCCTCTTCCTGATGTTAAGTGTAAGTTTCCTCTTTGTTTGCATCCTCTCCAAAATTTCATCATTGCACACATGCTCAGTACATGGTATACCCACCATCCTTCTATAGAACCATACCTCTGTTGCCTTGGGTCTCTTCATCTTTGAGGAGACCATCCAACATTCGCTGCCGTTAATGAGGACAGATATCATGCAACAGTTCAGTACACTTTTCTTTGTTACCAATGA